CTTGAAACCAAGAAAAAAGAAACATCCATTAGCTTAATTTACCTTTTAAAATTGTTTTCATTCTCCACATTCGTTCGTTTTATTTTTAATTGCACAAACATATTTTTGGAAAATTTGCTTTGCTACATAGAATGTGTGCTTTTTTTCTCTTTCAATTAGCATTTCTTTTTTTGGGGGCCGCTGACGCAATTATCAATTGTTTCCAGATAACTATAATTGGGTTTTTTATTATTAAATCGTCTGCTTTTTATTTTGGCTTAAGACTTTTGTTTTATATAGTTTCTTAAATGTTTCTCCTTGGCAACCCGCGATAAGCTTAAAATTGTGACATAAAACCAAATAAAAGAAATGCCAAAAAATTAAGTATTAAACACATGAAATTGATCGATACCGCAGTGGCTTTTTCTTGCGTTTTTTTATGATTCTTTTATAAAAAGAATTTGTAGATTCCAGGGCAAACAAACTTAATAATTCTTATCGCCTGAGTGTGAAATTGCATTTTTATGGACTCTTTTATGACTGGCTCCTTTGTTGATATGACCAAGAGCATTCTACGAATTACTTAAGAGCTCTTCATATTTGTATATATATATATAGCAAATAGCCGTCGTATATCTTAACAGCAACTACCTTGAACATTCTTAGATTGGCTTCAAGTTGATATGAATGGAACTTCCTCATCGGTGGAACTGGAACTTCTGAATTCTGAAAAATTATGATAGATTCAATTTATGATATATTTTATAGGTCTGATATATTTCTGGCTCTGTTACCCTTATCTCTCCCCCCTTTTTTTTGAATACACACACATCGATCTTCATAATCTCACTTGGCTGAATTGAAATTTTATTTGTTTTATTTGTTTTCTTGGCTCATTTGTCATAGAGACTTCTTTTGTCAGCGGCTTTTGTTGCACAAACAATGTGTATTCCCTTTGGATATTGACAGTCTGTAGATATATGTACATAGGTTTGACTTATCAGTAAATGTTTACGATAAATCAAATCGCAGGAAGTGCAATTTTTATCGGACCAACACTAAAGCAAAATTCACAGACAGTTTTGGTGTAGAATATTCGGCAAAAAAGGGGGACTGGTAGAGGTTTATTATAAATAATTTAGCCTTTAGCTTGCAGTTTATTTTCCAATTTGGGGCGATTTGTGTATAATGCGATACCGTAAACAAAGGACTATGGGATTTAAGACAAAACAAAAAATTAAATTAGAACAAAGGGGGAATCTAAAAGGTTTAAAAATATATATTTTATATTAGGGAAAAATATAGAACAAATTAATAATTATATAGTATGAATAGCAGAAAAGATATGATAATTAAATTACTTATAAAACCTCTATATATTTCCATTATTTATGGTTTATTTATTTCCCAAAACTTTATTATCTTTTTTCCAACTGTCAAAACAATCCCAACTTCTGTATCCTTCTAAGAACCGCCATTGTCTGCTGTCATTTTCTTCAAATCAGCACGCATCCCTGACCACAACTCTTATATGAATGAAGGGGTATCCAATCCCAATTATTGCTGAATTGCTCTACTTTTGATCCATCCATCAAGTTTTCAATAAAAACTGCGGTAGAAGGAGATAGAGAGAAGGCATAAAGAATTGATTAGTTTATAACGAAGGCAAATTGAGCTTTAATTTGTTTTGAGTGGCTTCGAGTAACTCTGCCTTCTATGTGCGTGACCAGAGTTGTCAGTGTGGGTGTCAGTGTGTGTTGTTGTGTGTGTCACTTACATTGTATATAAGGTCGTCATATTTTCCGGGAATATATAAAAGGGTTGTAACTATGGTCAAGCTGTGGCTGACTCAAGTCAGAGCAACAATTTGTTGGCCATTAGGCTAAAGACTACCCACAGGGGTGTAGTGCAAGTCGAGACATTCGTTAGGGGACATCGATTAAATATTTAAAATGACACACAGATATGTGGAGCACAGGAATAAATGGATATACATATGCTCTTTGGCTTTAAAAATACTGGGAAATAATTTAATTTGGAATATAAGTGTATCAAGTGTTTGCTTTTTAATACATTTCGAGATAAAAGGAAGCTTTAAATTCTATAAAAATATTATTTACATATTAATTATGATTTGGTTTTTCACTGATTGTAATTATTTTGAAGGACAAGGTTTCGGTTTCAACTATGAAAATTTCAAAGAAAATGAACCTTTAAATATCATAAAAAACCTTTTTTAGACATTTTTGAAATAGTACCTTTCCCTTTTACCTTTTGAACATTTGCCTAATGGGAATGCTGCGAGTCACTAGCATATATTAGTTGGCTATCGCTGTGGCTTTCTTCGTTGGCCTGCTCTGCAATTAGTTTGGCTTGCAATTCGGCTGACATTTTGCCTGGCCCATGGCAGCACTTGTATGTGGGCACCTCGTTCCCTTCTCCCTTCCCTGCGATCTTGCTTTGCTTTTCGGCAATATCTCGTGCACTCGCTTTTGTCAAATGACATTTCTATTTCTTGTAGAGTAACCCACACACTGCCATCGTGTGTGTATATATATATATATGCAGATATAGTCGGGTGTTGCCAGGAGGGATCCATTCCCCTCTGCCGTGCACCTACAAAGTCTGCCACTAATGTGGCGTACGTTTTTTGGCCAACACTTTATCAAGATGGCAGACGCCTTGGCTAGCGGCCAGAAGTGCACACAAAACTACAGAATTTTACCTAGGCCAAAAATCAAGGGACAGGGAAGGGGGGGGGTGTGCGGCAGGGGGTGCACCTTGGGGGAGTTTTCTTAATTTCTAAAGAGTCAACTGGCTCACTTCACAAATTCGAAATTCTGTAAGCAATTATCTGAATGAGTTTTCTGCCCATCAAAAACATGAAGGAAATTTATAATAAAATCCAACCGAAACGGATGACTCATCCGTACATTTCTATTTGATTTCCTTTTGCCTTTCGTTTTGCTTTGTTAACAGATTTGTTTTCCTTTTTGGAATTATTTATCTTGGCGCAATTTCTCACACTCTTAAGATTTTTTTTTTTTTGTGTCACTAAATCAGCGACAACCGCCCCGAAGCCATTCCCAATTTAAAGGAGGGGCCCAAACGGGGCGACAACATGAGCCATTTGTCTTAACCTTCAAGAACATTTAGACGTCATTCATCTCTCATAATTTTTCGTGCGCTTTTCTTTGACTTTTACGCATAGCTTGTAGCCTTTTTTGTTTTTCTTTATCTTCTATATAAAGGTTGGTATTTTTCCACCAAACACCCACCCACCAAGCAGGAATTCCTCTTCGAAATGAGTTAAATACAAGTTGTTAGCCGGTCTCGCTGACAATTGTCAAAGTTCTCAGGCCGGGAGACAAATATTTTTCCTACTTAGAGAGAAGGGAGAACCGTCTGCCAACCCCCAAAAGTTGTTTTGGCCTTCTGCTTTTGGGTGGTGGCCATAAAACTTTTCGACTGCGCCAGTCAAGGACGTTTGATAAGATTGAACGGGCAGAGGAAGTTGAAACATTTTGCCGGCCGAACTTAATTTGTATGCTTCTTTTTTTTGACCAAATAAAAAAATAAGAATAAAGTTTTATGAACGGAAATTATAAATGTTTTCGGGGGGGCAGCGTCAAAGTGCAAATTTTTCAGAAAAGCCATTAGAACTAAGTACAAGTCTTTATGGTTTGTGTGTAAAAATATTATGTTTCTAATTAAAGAAAGGAGACATTTTAGTAAAAGGAATTTCGGAAAATAACTTTATAATGTTTTGAAATTTATTTTAATTTTTTTAGGGTTTAAGCTAGGTGAACTCAATTGTTCCAAAAATACTAAAGCTTACTGTACAAATGCGTAGTTTTCTGGGAATTTCTTTGACATATATCTTAAAGATATATAATTATATTTTTACATTCTTTTCCCACATTTTGTATATATGTGTGGACACAACATCGTAAGAATCATTGAACTAGAACTTTGCCAACATAATTCATAAATCACTGGGTGACGCAGTTCTAGCGGAAAATGTCCCTGACTAATATCTATATAGCTGTGTATAGCCCATCTTAATCCGCCATCAAAAATATATGTTAACCGCACCAAATAAATTCCACAAAATACATAAAAGAAGTGAATAACAAGCGAAAACAAAAAGAAAAATGTTTAAAATTAAATGATAAAAATTCCAAAACACAAAAAAAATTAGGTAAATAAAATGTTATAAATTTTGTGAAAGAATTCTTCTCCCAAACTGCAATAAAGTGAGAAAATTTTTGCTGTTTGATTGTCTTGATTACAGTCATCAGTAGACACAAGCTGATTACACCATATACACACAGCACATACATACTTATATATACGTGTAGCGAGCTTGTAGCTTTAGTTATAGATATAGATATAGCGATATGGACATTATACAATACCAGGAGAATGCCGACGCCTCCTGGCATGGGGCCAATAAATTAGGCTGAGCAAATGAAAATGAACAATGAAACCACACTCGTAAACGGTAAGAGATGAGATGAACAATAAAGGTTGATCTGTGGACTAGTAGGTGTTGCACCATATAGAAAGTATAGTTAAAATCTAGATATATATATATAACCCGACACATTTATGGACAATCAATTTAAAAAAAGATAATCACTTTGCACAACAATGTGTCTAATTTATTGGTTTCGTGTGCCTTTCGTTGTACTGTGCCACCTTATCCATGGGATATGGCAAGCAGTTCGGAGGATCATAAATAAACCTCGATTCGAGTGGCGTCGCGTCTGGCTTTCGATTATCAGCTATCAGTTTTCGATTTTTCAGTTTAGCGTGTTACCATTAAATGGGATTTTATTGTTAAGGCTATAAAGCATATTTTATGTGGGTCATATATAATATGCAGTGATGGATTGGGATTTTGACGTAATCAGTAAACCAATTTATGGGGGTTTTATGCACAGAAATTAATCTCTATTAAGGGGTTAAGTGCGTTGGTTCTTTAATCTGATATTTATAAATTATAAAAGTCACATGAATTACTTCATATAATTACTTTATTGTTTCAATTTCTTGATAAATTTACACACACATAATTAATTTCTCTGGCAAGTCACTGGCAATTCCCATTCGATTATATGTTACTCTATAGCTTTGCTAATTTCTTGGGCAAACACGGCTTTAGATCATCGGGAGTGACACTCGGTTTTTACATCATCTTCGAGCTTGACTTACATTGTTCTTATAATAGTTTCTGTCAGTTTTGACACCTCGATATATATGTATATATATATTTGTATAGCTATATGTATGCTTAGTAATATTTGCCCAGTCAGGCCCGCTGCTTATCTCATTGTGTGCGCTCGGCGGCGTTGCCGGGGGAGTACAGCCCGACTTGATGACTACTTTGTCTGTTTACCCTATCCGCCAGATTAAAGTGTCACGAGTCTTTGCCACTATGCTCCGCCATCTTCTCTCTCATCTCCCTGGGCGCCCCTCATCTCCAATTTGCGTTTATTAGATGCACACGACAGAGAGCGGGGCTTGAGCTATGATACCTGGTTGGGTCAGGTTGATGGGAGAGAGGTGAACTTCGTATAGATGCACTGGGAAAAAATGTATAAATAAATAAATAATATAAAATAAATAAATAGGGTTGTAGTTTTTAATATAAAAAACTTATAAAACAAACTGATCCGAATTGTTAAAGAAAATATTTCTCCATTCAAATATTTTTATTAGACCAACCAACATGTCATGTCTTCATATAAAATATTTTAAAAATTGCTTCTTGTGTTAACAGCATTAAGAAAATAATTCTACGATGATTTCCGAACCAACAATGTTTTATTGCATATTTTTAGACTCTTTTATAAACGGTTTTAAATATAAACAATCTCAAATATTTCTTAAAAAATAAATTCCCCAATAAACAACTCAAAAAAACGATTTTACAAGGATTTTAGACTAACCAAAAAGTTATTGCATACTTTTCAACGCTTTTTAAAAAGATTTCAAATTCCGAATTTGCCAAAAAGGTTGTTTAGATACATTTTTATAAGTCAAAATTTAAAATATTTGAATAAGTTGCAAATTAATATTAGTTCTGTGTATAGCCCAGGTGCCACAAGGTGATATATGGATGTCTTGGGTCACAGCTGGCGGTCTAACCCGTATGTATGGACGCGAGTCTTGGCACTTGAGAGCGGCTGGGCGCGTGCTCAACTATTTCGCTGCTGTCTTCTTACGCCCCCCCCAAAAAAACCCCTTTCATCCTCTGTGAAGTACTATCGCTACACCCCTGGCACTATGGCACACACATGCTTTTTATTCAATTAACACGGCGAGAAGAGGCAAAAGCTGAAAGACATGCATTAATTTAAGCCAACAACAGCAGCAACAAAACGAGCCTCGGCAGCTGCCAAAAAAATTGACTTAATTTGTTAGGCAAACAATGAGCGAGAGAGGGAAGAAGAAAACACATCACGAGCAGTCCGAAGAAAGGGGTTAAGCGGGTAGGAGGGGTTCTAATCAAATAGCAATCGACATATTCCGTTAATTAGTTGAGCAAATAAGAAGCAACTTTTACTTTTTTTTTGCCCCCTTTGCCAAGCGAAATAATCATGTAAATTGCCATGCTTTAAAACCTTGATGTCCGGCACTTGAGAGTGCAAATAAAATAAAATGGATGAAGGAAAAGAGGAAAAGGTAGAAGTACAGGTTGGAAAATTTAAGTACCCTAAAAAATATGAAAAGGAAACTTTAGAAACTGTAACTGTAAATATTATATTTTCTAGCAAGATTTTGAGAATATTTTTGTGGTGGTTTTTGCTTATTACTTACTTATTAATTTATAACTTCAAATTGAAAATTTTTGAAAATTTTTCCTAAAAAAAACCCTAACTTAAAATTATACAAAAACACAGTTAAAGCTTAAGCACCCTTCTAGACATCCTGCCAGTAGTCCGGACAAGTGTTAGTCCTTAGATACTGGCAAGGCAAAGTTCTGCTACCCTTGGCCACTGTACGAGAGAGAATATCAAAAAAGTGAGATGCAAACGCATTCGGCAAGTGGCCACTAAAAAAAGGAAGACGAAAATTCCAATTGAAAGAGCTGAAAGAAAATTTGCATAAGAGACTGTGAAACGGTTTGCATTTGATGAAAGTCGATTCATGGCTAGCCACGAGGGAGCGGAAATGGGTCTTTCGCCGAGTGAGTAGTGTAGTATATGGCCCACTCAATTCATTGAAAGACAAAAACCATAAAAAAAAGGAAACAGTGATAGACAGACAGACAGAACAGAAAACTGCAAACCGAGAAAACACTTAAAGCGACAATGTGGGGACCCAAAACGAAGAGTATAAAAATGGGGTGGAAAAATAAAAAGGAAAAGTAAGAGTATAAAATGAAAATGCCACCCAACCAGCCACCCAGTGCTTCCCGCATTTCCATCAGTTCTGGTGTCGCTTCATGGTTTGCTTCATTAAAATTTGGTTTTCATTTCAATTAAGTTGCGGTTTGGTTGGCCGGAAAATGCCCGGGAAAATCAAAGAAATTGTTTGGCTTTCGCTGGCAAAAAAAAAAAGAACGAGGGGAAAAATGCCAGTGGTGGTTGAAAGAGAAAATAAAAATGCACCTCTGGGAAGCCTTTCAGGATACTGTTTACCAAAATTATAAGTAATTCAGCAAATAATTAATATAGGGAATAAAGGCGGAAATCAAATCACAAATTTCAACTAATTTCAATTTAATTTCCCACCAATTAATTTCTAGTTAGCTAATTAATTAAAAGATTTCTTGCGGATTTATGGGCCACCAAGAAAGTGTATGTATTTAAGGAAAAACACATTTTCCGCGGGGCCAAATGGTGGCCACCCACTCAAAGTAAATACAATACACCTGCGCTAGCAGTAAACGAAAACAAAAACTGAACACTAAAAACTTTAAAGGGGGCTGGCTTTTCTATCTGATGGATGTGAACGACGAATATGTTTTTAGATATTTTTGCGAAAAATTCCTAACCTGCCTTGCCTTGTGGGAGATGGAATAGAAAATTCAATTTCGCCTTTGATCAGAGATGAAAATTGCATTTGTGGCTGGGGGAGCCGGAATTATTACTATGAAATGTTGCAGGCGGCAAACGGGGCGTATGAGTGATGTGCATCCGTCTAATCATCTGCCAAATGGCAAATGGAACCAAAACGAAACGGAATGTAAAATGCGAGAAATATGTTTGCACACTTAATGAACCAATAAAAGTGCGATAGACAGCTAAATCAATAAAAACATTATATTATTCAACCTTTTCCATGTTTTTTTTACACATTTAGTTTTCTTAAATGGTTTCCTAATTACTTGAAAGAGTGTCAAGCGCAAAGAGACGTGTAATAGATATAAAACGAAAGTGTATATTTTTGGCAGATGCATTTAATATTTCTATTGATTGCCACTTGTGCCTTAAACATGCTTTTCATCTGCGGGCCTTTTCCCTTTTGAACACGAGCGTTTTCATGTTTTCGTTGATTAGCCCTCTAGTGTCTCTTTTCTATTTTCCCTTCCCAGCAAACAATTCAGGGAATTTAATTGTGAATCCAATTGCAAAATGTCTTTAATGTTTGGCTTTCCTCCTAATTGTTCTATTCTTTCTTTGACTTTAATTACCAAAGCATTTTATTCGGTCTGTAAACTCTTACACATATCATATTGTTATGTTAAATGGATCTTAATTAAAATTATTTCTCTTTGCTTGTTTTCTTTGCAGGTGAGTTTACCCCAAGATTTTTATGTTTACGAAACAATTATAAATTGGTGAGTATATTCAAGATGTTAATTAAACAGGAAGAAGTCTTGGGAGAAATGTATAAGCTATTTGTGATAAAGCCCTTGAACATTTATATTTAGTATTTTTTAAACGTTTGCTTGAAAGGTCTTTCGAAAAGCCGCCCCTATAAATTCACTCCCCCTCGTTTCCACTTTCAACTTTATATGCTAAGCGACGGCTTAGTTAATTAACACTCGTCGGCAATTACAAAAAAATATAAAAAAAATATCAGCAGGAGGCAACAATAAAGAGCTCAATTAACGCCACTCACAGCTCAGGGGCTAAAATCGAGGGACTTTCAGGGGTTAAGGGAAGCGGAGGAAATGTGCATGCAGCGGCAACAAACAAAAATTTTACTAGTTCGATGTAGTTTTCATGTGAACGACAATTTGAAAACCCGGTTACATCATTTCTGACAACAAAGGGTTAATTTCCATTACGAGCTTATTGAGAGCGAAACGCAGGAAGCTGTCATTGAGTGAGTTTTTCTCTTACAAAAAACACAATATTTGACAGCAAAAAGCCGCCGAAAATACCATAATGTATATATTTAAATTAGAAAACCATATTTTTAGTTGTTGGGCGTAAATTGAGTAAAGGCGCAACACGCGTGTAGAATGCCTTTGATTTTATTTTGGTTAAGAGCAATGCTTTACACATTTAGAAACTGTCAGAAGACAAAGTGTCTAGAAATTCTTTCGGGCACAAAAAACTACATGAAATGGAAACTGAGTCAAAGTATATATGCGTGGATATGTGGGTGTATCTTTGGACTAAAACTCTTAGTTGCTTGAATTATTGAATCGTGGACATTGTGGCAGCTGCTTGATTTTCAGGCACATTTCCAAATTCCACAACGAATTTGTAATTTCCTTTTGGCGCCCTCTAACGCAGGATTGGGGAAACTGCCCAACCATTGACATTTTCTGAATGAAACGAGTTATAAATAAACAACAAAAAAAAAGCGAAAATGCGGCTACAAAAACCATTTTAATTCATGCCTATCGAAAATTAGTTCATATTCAAATTTGTGAGGCTTTTGTTAGCAGTTTATTTTGGGTCAGTTGTGTGCAGAAGCGATTAATTACGTTTATTTTATAACTAATTGATGTTATTATTAAAGTTATTAGAGAATGAAATATAGAAATATCAGTTTCAATGTAGATTATTTATAGCTTAGGAAAATACATTAGCTTTTTCACAATTTATATTTATTAGTTTTCTAATGGGATAACGTGTATAAAAAGCTTTGTTCATTAAACTAAACTACAAATGTACAGATTTAATCTTTTTAGCTAATTATCCTCTAATTTATGAGGTTATATGTATGAACATTTTAGTCTCAACTGAAAGAATGCAACAGAAAATGTTGCTAGACAAAGGTTGCTATAAACATCTAGCAACACTCAGTTATACTAGCAACATATTAATGTTGTGAAGCTACTTCAGACCGAAAAAGGCTTTTGTTTAATTAATCAAATTTCAGAAATACGTTTATAAACTATTTTTAAATAAAATTAAAGTTATGTGAGATAAAAACACTTTTTTCCTGTATTTAATATTTAAATAATTTCTTTAACAAACTCGTTAACTATAAAAGCTTTTCTAGTCAAACAAATTTCGCTTCTCGAACCACTGTGCTAGGAAAAGCTCTTAAATAGACAGCGCCTCATAGCGGCTGCTTTTCGAAAACTTACAGCTGAAGCTCTGTGGAAAAAGCTCTCTCTTCTGTTGCAGCGTTCTGTTTTCTCTCAGACATTTGCTGTTTGTTTTTTTTTCGTTTGTTGCTGTAGGCAACTTGTCTGGCATACAAAACCTCCCCCCAATAAGCCAGCCTCCCCCCGAACCACCAGCTAGCCCCAGCGGTAGACTTTTCAAACATCGGAACTCATCATCATCATCAGCATCATCGTCAGGGGGCGAAAACACGTGCAGGGAGCGGCGAAAGCCCCGTTTACCTCCCCCTGGATATCGCTCATACGCCGCGTTGGCAATTAATTAGAATTTTCTGCTGTTGCCTTACGCCTACGACAACGAATTGAATTGAAATCAAATTCCCCAAGTTTTCTTCGTTTGTTGTTTTGTTTTCTTGCATTTCACTGTCTTTCCCTTTTTGCCCTCGTTTATTATTATTTTTTTTCTTTTGTTTCGGTCGTCACATGTTTGGCCAGGCGACGTCTCGAATTTCCCGTCCAAAGTGCCAGGTGATAAGGCCAATAAAGGGGTTTTCCCCCTCCCCCTGGAACCACTACAAATTACGTAAATTTCCGATCGGCGAACCTTAACTTTCGCACTGTCTGCCTTTGCCTCTCTTCGATATCAAATTCAAGTTTATTATTTTCGGTTTGTGTGTGGTCAGCGGTTGGCCAAAAAAAACCTGTTGGCCAAGTAGGTAGTTGGTCCTCTGATAAGCCGCCCGCAATATAATTTTTTATTTCCCGCTAACTTGTTCTATTGGGCCATAAAATCGGGCGAATACAGCGCATGTTTGAAGGAATGCAGGAATGCGGAGCGGATGAATAAAAGTATTAGTATTGGAAAGAAATTACTTATTCCAGATTGGTTAGTAAAAGGCAAATATTAGTGAAGAAATAGTTAAAAGTTATATAGTGTCAATTAACAACAGACTTAATTAGTTTACAAACGAAATCATAATTATGATTAAAGCTTTATCATATTCCTGTTTATTTATAATTTAAATCTAACAATATTTACTTAGAAAATGGCAAGACATATCTATATTATTCGTCTAATCTGTCTCTGTCTTAAATAACTTATTACTCTTTTAAATATCAATCAGTTTTATTACAAGTCATTTTTATATTCTGTATAAATTTTGAAAAGTTTTTGCACATTCCCTATTAATTACCTTCTCCCTTTGCTCGTCAATTTTCTATACAATAAATACTTATTAATCGTGACAGCTATCAACTGCCTATAAAAAACCCTTTGTTTCGCGTTTCAATAACAAGAAAAATGCCACAAATTCGCCATCACTCATCCTGGCAGGCAATTAAAAATGATTGAGAGAAACTTAGGTGCCAAGTGCTAGTCAGTATCTTGCTCTGATTTAGCCTAACAACTAAATCGGGCCCTTATATCAACAGTCAACAGGTTTTTTTTTATTTAGCTGGCCTATCTAGGTCAGCTGGTTGTGAGAGGGACTTAATAATAATAAGCCAGTTGCTGCGGTGTCGTAAAAAAAATCGTTTAAACATTTCAGCATTTCTAAATAATTATTTAGCAAAATGTTAATTTACGACCTGCTGCACTAAACACGTGTATAATGACTCGAACGTCGTCATACCAGAACCATATACCGAGTCACAGAACTACAGAACTATATGTACTAGACGTACTAAAAGTACTATATGTATATATATATTATATATCAGCCATCAGAACCCCAGACGGTTTCATTCTAAGCAAGCAAATCGCAGAATGTTTAATTAAGGTTTGATTTGTTGTGCTTTGTGAGTGCTTTAAATTTGCGGCGACATTTCATTGAAATATTGCGGAAAGTTTCCACAAATTTTCCTTTTGGGAGAATGGTAATAAAATACAAAGAAAAGACACAACAAAGTATTAACTAAAATATAATATTTCTACTGCGAAAATAAAGAGACATATTTATATTTGTGAAATATAAAAGAATATATTGGTTTTTTCTTTAATTTTAGTTGTTAAAATACATTTAACATTTATAACTAAAATTATAATAAAATCTCTTTATTTATATTTTATTTTATATTTATATTATTAAGCACATATATTATTTTAGCGGTTTTGTTTTACTACTTTTTGAATTTTAGTTAAATTCAAAATATTTTAGATTTATTTTTAAATGCACAGAAAGTATAAATTATGCTTTATTTAATTGTAGTTTCTATTTACCATTTTTTTTAATTAATTAATTTTTTTTTTTGCAAATTGTTTACCCCTTCATTAATTTGTTTACTTTCTGTTTCTCTTTTTCACCTCCTGCTTCCGATATTTACTCTGCACAATTTACTTTATTTTTATTTCTATGCACTCTGTTTTTCCTGTGTTTCTTGTTATTGTTGCTCTGCTGATGCACAGGGGGTGTGTGAGTATGTGTGAGTCATTGATTCGATGCTTGGGTGTGAGTGTGTGCAAGTTGCTTTAAATTGCTATTTATAAACCAAGCAACAGCTTCGTCTTCTTCGTTCTCATTCTCAGTCTCAATTGGGTTTGTTTTTAGTGTTTTCAGTGCTCTTTTTCTCTCTCTCTCCTGTTCTTAACACTCTCCCGCTCATTCATCCGTTTCCAATGTGTATATGTGTGTGTATAATACGGAACACACACACTAATGCACGGGGCCGGCGCACGTGGTAGCGAAACGTGATAACACAAAATACAACAACTGGCAACAAAACAAACAGAAAACCTGACAACGTCAGGCGTCGCTGCCGCCGTTGGCTTCGCTGTCGCTGAGCGACGGCGGCAGAGCACCAGCTGAGCGCTGCAATTGTGGATTTTTGCGATTGGTTCCCTAGAATGCGATGGCTCGGCATATAAGCCCGGCCAATGGCGCTCCGCGACGGCACATCCTTCTGCCATTGGCAGGTGCCGAAGCTCCAGCCGAAGCCGCAGCCGAAGTTCGTGTGGCTCTCGGGCTTACGAAGTTGTGTCCCGCTGACTTGTTGCTTTTTTGGAGCTTCCAGAAATAGCCAACTTACACGGCGCCACGGGGCGTATACTCGATATTCGAATGCAGGGCCTTCGTCTCGCCTGGGGAGAACAGGTGACCGGCCAAAAGCATGCGTTTGCAGATGTTCCCTCGTGCTTGCAGAGGGTGACTTCTCACACCAAAACAAATTAATGTAGAGGGAAATACAAAGAAAAAGGACATGTTTTTTGGGCTGAAAGATTTATATCTATATTGAGATTTTATTTATTTTGTTATAATAATAAACAAAATATTTAACATGGTCTTTAGGGATTTTGCACGTTTTAAGTTTCTTTTTTAGTTTATTAACTATGTATAATGAATGAAATAAGGAACAATAGTTAACATTTTAAAAATATTTTGCAGTATCTATTAAACAGTTAAATGTATTTCAACCTGTAACTTGTAATATAAATTGAAATAGTTAAATGGTTCTGTTACATTTTTCCAAGAATATTATATGATCTACATCAATGTTGAGTGCTCATTAAGAATTATGACTAAATAATTAAAAAATCTTGATACCAATGGGAATACCTTTCAAAACAAAAAAATCCCCAGAAAATGTACCGGACCTAGGTCAACGTGAAATTTATATAAGAATAATGGTATTATTCCCCACTGAAATTGTTGGAATTATTTTCAAAATATTCTAAGAAAGCGCTGCTGCTGGGCACTGCGACCTACGCCAATATCAAGTATACGCCCCGTTAGCAGCTACTACGCCTTGGGTTTTGTCTGAAGTGAAGTACCCTTCGTCCCGCCAATAGATCCGCTTACTTGCCATGACGCAGCGCTAATTAGTTGGTGGCACAGAGAGACGATTCTGGCCATATTACGCATACGTCACGTGTTGCAAACGCATCAGTGCCAAATATATATGAAGTAAATCGAGTATTGGCCACGCATTTGGCTTAAACGGCGCTTATATATATCAATGTATAATGATATATATATAATATATAGACTGATATAGCTTGTTTAACTGTAACGACGGGCAAATGAGAGACAGGCCGACAGTGCGAAGCAACTGGAAACCTTTGAGCCGTATCTGTAGCTGTATCTGTATCTCTATCTGTATCTGTTTCTTTGAGTACGCTTGCCTGCCGTTCAACGTGCAGTTCTCTCCCTCTCTCAATTAATTTTGGCGGCGTGTGTGTGAGAGTGTGCGCCCGGTGTGTGTCCACAACACGTGCTTAGAACTGCGCTAGACAGTGGGCTTTGGGTCATATTGAAATCCGCGTGACTTTGCCGCCGCAGCGCAGTTGCTGCCGCTGCCACAGTCCCTTTTTGAAAATACAGCTGTGTTCAAGATAATAGTTGTACTAGCTAAAAACATAATAAGCAATAATAATTGGTATAACAAATTATTGCTTACTGAAAGAGAAGCATCCGGAAGAAAGGCAATAAATTTAAAAGATATAAATTCAAGTTTTATTTTAAAGCGTATACCTTTAAATACACTTTAGATCTTTAGGAATAGTAGCTTAATCTTCAAAGAAGTTTTTAAACAAATTAATTAAGCCACAATTTCATAATTCTTTGATTTTCAGAACAGACATATAAGTATTTTTAAGACCTAATTTATAATTAAATTATTAAACCACTATTCTTACTTAATATAAATTTTCCTATGCTGCTTTACCAACGATTCTAGTTTATTATACTTTTCCAAGTTCTATTTTTCTGCTCAGAGCTGTATGTAAGTGTATAATAAATATTTTTTATATACAAATATTTTGTAGTGACAGAGTTTGATAAAAAAAAAACCGAAAAACAATTATCAAAGTGGGAGAGGGAGCGCTGTTTTTGGACCGCCGCCCTTTACGTAAGGCGACTTACTTGCAGAAAATTGCAATTTTAGCAGGCCGAGAGCGGCGGCGTCACCGTTGACGCCGGCAGAGCAGCGACTGCAGCAGAGGCAGCGGAAAACCAGAGACACTGAGACCGAGGAAACTTTGCTCGCCCGGCATTCTGTCGCATCGCGTTCTCATGTGAAAATCGTCGCTGCGCGTTTCGTTCCGAGTTCCTCAGTGTCGAGCGGGAAAACCCAAGCAAAAACAAAAATATTTAGAAAAGAAGCAAAATAAAAACAAATCGAGAATTTATTAAATTAATTCAAGTTGAATTCCCAGAAGGGCGAAAAAGTTCTGGAAGAATTTTCAACTGAATGCAATATTTTTTATTCCCACACCAGTTTCAAGTGCAACAATTGTGAAATCAATCCAGTGTCAGTGTCAGTGTGTGTGTCTCTTCAAATCGCATAAAAAATAGCTACAATAAAAAGATCAAAGAGAGAGAGAGAGAGATAGAACCAGCCTGAGAGAAAGAGAGAGAGTGAGAGCCGGAGATCTCTCAGAAATTCTCTGTCCAGCGGCGCCAAAGTTACGGATCCAATTTCAAACAGTTTAATTTAATTTTAATTTTACAACTACAAGAAACAACAAGACCCAGAAAGCAAAAAATCAACCGAAACAACAAAAAACCCAAAGCAAAAAACGATCTCATTTCTAAGCAGCAACAAATTCTGAGAATAAGAAAAGGTATTCCACCAAAAAAGGCTGAGAGAAGGAAACGAATTACAATTCAATTGATTTGGCAAATAATAATGTATTTGTTTTGATTTATAAAATAAATAGAAAATATATAGAAAAACTCTTCAAAATTTCCATCCTGTAATTTCCAATGAAAATAATCAATTGCTAAACAAACACGTAAAGCCTTTGTCCCCGATTAGCGACTCAATTTCTATAGAAAGAACGTCACAAAAATCTTATTATTAAAATTAATTGAACTAAAAGAAAGCGCAAGACTATACAACTATACAATGCCTTTTCTTATTCCTAATCTTCATGATCATCAATTAAAAATAATGCAAACTAAATAGAAAACATACAAAAATAGACGCAAACAAAGTGCATTTTTCACGACCACGGAAAAACAAGCGCCTACTAACAACACACAAAACTATCTTTATCACCCCCATTATCACTATCAGTATCAGTCACTATCAATAATCTAGAGTCCAGCACTCATCGATCACTTCCCTAAACTGAATCACTCTCAACATTCCCCACGATCGCCACCACTTCATTAGAAACCACCAATATTGGCTATCAATTGGCTAGAAACAACCAGAAAAAAAAAATCTAGAACAAATTGGAAACGAAAAAGAGGAGCAACACACTAATCTGGGTTTTCAAATGAAAGCACAATCTTTTCAGATGTGGGCGATTTAGAGGGCACAAAAACCCCCAGACAAAAACTAGAAATTTTCCATTAAAAAACTCGACTCAAGTGAATCAGTGTTTTCTGTGAGACAATGCGCACAACTTTTGGCCGTGGCCCAAAGTTTATTCTGCTAACAAGCAAGTTCAACCACGTTCAACACAAGGAAGTGATCACTTAGGCATTTGCCAAAATCCAAACCAAACCCAAGCCCAGTGAATTAACAACCCAGTGAAGCCAGGACCCAGTTAATAAACCAGTGACCATGTCGTCGGATACGAATTCCTGCACCAGTTTCTTTAACCAGGAGCATGCCAATGCCACCCTGTCGCAGTATTTCCAGCAGCTCAATTCCCAGGTGGCAGCTGCAGCGGCCACAACCAATAATAACAACAATAACAATAGTGGAAATAGTGGCAACAACAGCAGCAGTGCCAACAGTGACAGCGGCAATGATGGCAGCATGACGGGATCGGGCTCAGGATCAGGATCAGGATCTTCCACCATGGACAACCATCGTAGCAGTGTGAGCAGCAATGATTCGGGCAAGAGCTCGGGCGGAGGATCTGGTAGAGGATCTGCGGTGACCAACAACAATGTGAATGCCTGGGCCTTGCAGCAGCAGCAACAGACAGCAGCCCTGCATCATCACCAGCAACAACAGCAGCAGCAACAACACCAACAGCACTTGCAGCAGCAGCAGCAGCATGCTCACCAGCAACATGTGGCTGCTGTTATGCAGCAGCAACAGCAACACCAGCAACAGCAGCAGCACTCACATCACGCCCAACAGCAGCATGCACAGCAACAGCATCATGGCCATTCATTGCATCCGCACCACACACATCAGCAGCAACAACAACAGCAGCAGCAGCAGCAACAACACCACCAGCAGCAGCATCAGCAGCAACATGCACAGCAACAGCAGCAGCAGCAACACCATGCCGCCCAGCTGGCCCACACACTCTCCTCAGCGGCAGCGGCCGCCGCTGGTGGCAACAATAATACCAACACACACTCCATTTTCGGCACCGGCAACTTCCATTACAAGACCAACAACTCGTGGACACTGCCCACGTTGACATACCAGCGGATTTACCAGGAGAATCCCCATTACCAGCGCAACTCCTTCATGGATCCGCAGAGTAATGTTGCGGCCGCTGCCGCTGCTGCAGCAGCTGCAGCTGCTGCCTCCGCTGCTAGTGTGGCGAGTGGCAACCAGGGAACCAGTGCAAATCCCAGTGGAAATAATAACAATCCTGCTGTGGCAGGACCCAATCCCGGCCAGAACAGTAATAATAACAATAATAATAACAGCGGGAGCAACAACAACAGCGGCAACAGTAACAATAATAACAACAACGTGTCGTCGGTGCAACATGTGGCCAATGCCGTGGCAGCAGCCGTTATAGCCAATGAGCATCAGAACCATTTGAACAGCCTCAAGGCGAGGTTTCAGCCATCTAGCTCAGGTGAGGTGATATGAAGAGAGAGAGTGGGTCTGAGAAGGTTGGGATTACTCAAAGGAAAAGTTTTGTAAATGTTCCATAAAAACAAAATAAATATAAATAAAAGCCATTTACTACAATTTCAAATACTTTCACAAAACCTTAAATGGAAACTTAGTAGAAAATATCTAATTAATGACAATTATTGCTAACCAAGATTATCATAATAAGAAGTAGTAGTTGTAGTATTACAAACAAGATACTATACAAGTAATTAGAACAATCTCTCCCTTGACTTGACAACTATATTTGTTCATCCCCTTTTGTTGACTAATTTGCAACGTAAAAGCTGAAATCGGGAATATGATTGACGCCACCCTTAAAATTTGTACACAACTGATAAAAAGCTATGACTAGTTTCTATGATTACTCGCCATTTTCCCTCTGAGCCTGTCTTTTGTATTAGAAAATTAGTATTCCATTGTGGAGCCCCGATACGAAGCCCTTAAGTAAAGTGTCTGGAAAATGTCGATCTGCTTGAAAGACCAAAACGAGCTGATATCATCGGACGTCAGCGGCCGAGAACTTTGCGCAGTGCGAGCTTGAAAAGCGCACAAAAGTCAAGAAAGCTTGCCGCGCACACGTGAGCTGGGCTATATAATATATATATAAATATATATTTGTATAGGGAGTAGACTATATATATGCCATGGACTGACGTCGTCTGTTTGAAATTGAATAGGAAACGGAATTCAAATGTATCTGCTTCATTTGTAAATGTATCTTTGCACCGCGGATCGTTGGGTCTACATTTATATATAATTTTTTCCGCAAGGGAAGTTTGATTTGTTTTTGTAATTTACTGTTGATTATTGATTTGATTTAGATAGAAACTAAAACTATTGACGACCTAGGCTAAACTTAAAACTATCATTCAGAAGAGTCTATAAAGATAATAATAAACAATACCCTCAAGGTTATATTTATCTTATCTTTTAATGCCTTTCTACACTACCCAACCTAGTTAATAAAGAAATTCTCAATTTTCATGGCAATTTTAACCGGAAAATGATTTAATGTGCCTTAAAAATTCCCATTTAATATCAATTATAAGGGCACAAGTGTGTGACATTTAGTTTTGGCTTTTCAATGCTGTTGTTGATTTTCAGTTTCGTTTTTTGGCACATCCTTTCACCCTTTTTTGATCTACTTTGTCAATGCATTTGGCACAAATCCCTTTTGAAAAGCGCGACTAAGCCACCATTTTCCCTTTTCTTTTTTTTTCACGAAAACTGACCTCAGAGAAAATGCATTTGGCTTGATTAGATTTCGGAATTAGGCTGATGAGATTTTTATGGCAGATGATATGGAAATGCATATGGCAAATGGAATGTGGGTGGTCTTTGTGCCACCTCTCCCCCCACATGATTGTTGTTTTTCGCCATTTTTTGCTGGGTGAAATTTTCGCTATTGAATATATACTGGAAATGACCTTTTAAAGGCAGAATGAATAATAATTTTTATGAATTTTGATGTGCTTGTCTGTGTGTGTGTGTGTGGGAAGCGGGGAAAGCTAAAATGGATAAATGTCAGTTGTCGTTGTAGGTGGGCCCCCTCCATTCAGGGACAATTTTCCGCCACCCTTGACAAGCCAAAAATGTTTCTCAATTAATTCTCATTTCCAGTGGCTAATTTATTGAACATGTAATGGTTTTTATAGGGAAATTGCTGCATTTATTTGTTGTTTTATTTTATGTTTAATTTTTAAATAATATAGAAAATTTTATATATTAATACTATTTCTATCTTTTTGTTTATTTACAGGTAAGCATCGAGTACCAATGCTATAGAACTGCTATGGCAATTCATTGTGAATTTAAGTGTTTTTGTCTTTTGCCTAACTTCTTACTGGTAAGCTTGTGTTGTTGTCCATTAACTAACATTGATCATTCAAAGGATATAGTTTATATTTTAAAAAAATATAGGGTATTTATTTATTGTTATTGTTTTAAAAAATAGTTTCAAAAACGGTTCAAAAATATATTTCTTTAACATTAATTTAATCACAAAAGCTTAGAATTCTCAACGGGCAGTCAACTGTAGATATTCACGCTTAATATTCAAATTAAATTTTTCTAAAATAAAATTTAATATTCAAATATATTAATATACAATTTTTGGTTTAATATATATATATGAATATTATTTTAAAGACCAGTTCGTCTTAGTTTTTTGTCTTGCTTCATCGTTAAATAAATTTCTTTCTCAGGAATTTATTTACATTTGAAAAGAAAGATACAAAAATCCCCAAACTTGAAGCTCACCAAAAGTCACTCAAAGAGGCGCGAGCCGAAAGCTTTTCTGGGCCTCACTCAAAACAACGCTGCGCCGCTGCCGGCGTCGACAGCGGAAAATCAGCTTCCGCATTCGAGCACGGCAGCGCGGCTCCCGCCAAGCGTGGCGGCAGTGGCGTCGGCAGCGACGAACTTTGGCAGGCTGCGCGAAAGAAAGTAAACAGGCGGAATGCGCAAAAAAAAAGCAGAGCGAGAGCAAGAGAGAGACAAAGCGGGGGCTTTCTGGCTTTCGGTTTCAAGTTTGGCTTTTATTTCGCTGTCAGCCGCTTCTTCTCTTTTCCTCTTCCTCTTCTGCGGGTTTCTCTGAGCTGCTGCTGCGCCGCTGCCTTTGGCTCTGCCTCTGCCACTTGGCTCAGCTGCGAAGCTGCGTTGCACGGCGCTGGCGACGCGCGCGTTCACTCAGCGTTCGCAGTCCGGCGGCACCGGTTCGATTCCACGGGCTCTCCACCAAAACCCCCCCAAAAAAAACTAATAAAAACTAAAGGCCGAAAGCAAATAAAAAACACAAAATATCCCCCGTACTACACATGCAAGCAAAGGCCATAAAAATAATACGTATACGACGCGTGTCTTCGTCTTTAGCACCGCGCTTTCGAATCCAAATTCGAATTCGTGCGAACCTGTGAACTTTCGTTTCCTCTGCGCATCGAAATTCGCGGTAAAGGAAGGAGGATCGCCGCCCAACATTTTCCCAGGATTAAAATGTATTGTGCAGTGGAAGAAAATAAATGATCTTCAGAGTGAAATTCAAAGAATTTATATACGAAATTTCCTAAAACACAAAGTTATATATGAAACCTAAAAATACATACATATTTATGCTGCTGAAAGCTAAGAGCATAAATCAAAAGTGTTTATAAGTTTGTCAAACAAAAAGTAATTAAACTAAACGATCATCAAATAAATAAAAGTTCCATAAAAAAAACTTTTCCCTTAGGCTGACAAAGTATTCAAATTATTTTTAAAGGCTGGTAAAATATTGGAATTGAAAAAATGTAGAGAAAATTATTTAAAATAATAAAAATTTGTATTTTAAAATTAGTTATAACCTTTTTAAAAAGTTTTTAATAAATCTTTCTTACATTGAAACATTTTTTTTCGAAGCTTTTACCTTAAGAAGCTGTATTTGATTATTTAATTAGAAAAACTTAATTTATAATCTAAATGTTAGAATCAGAAATAAGAATTATATTTAAACAAAATTCTTTAATTAAAAAAAAAAATACTCTTTAGAAATTCCGAATATTTACACCGGCTTTTAAATAAATGCAACCAATATTTCAAATTTTTTAACCACAAGCCAAGCCATTGAATCATTAAAAACAACAAAATTAAGAACAAATACTGTAATAACGAAAAGAAAAACGCAAAGGCAGCAACATTAGCTCGGAGCAGAAGCAACACCAACGCGAATAAGTGCGACGATCAGTTTGACAAATAGCAAAAACGCATAGCAAAAACATTTCGCTTAGTGCTTTGTTGCTGCTTGCTGTTGTTGCCGCCTCAAGGTCAAACTTTTCTCATTCAAAAGCGGCGGCGGCGGGGGGCGAGAACCGAACCCCTTAACAAAACGGCCCAGCCCCACAGCAAAAAAAAAGTATTAAAAAAAAAAAAAAAATAAAACAACGCTCAGTACGCGGAATAGTTGACAACGAAATATAGCAGTGGCAGCAACAAAACACACAGCGTAATAATAGAAAAAGCAAACAAAACAAACAATAGAAAAATTGCGAATGCGAAAAAAGCGACACAAACTTGAATAAAAACTGAGCCAAAGCCCTCACAGTATTCTGAGCGGTGTCTGTGTGTGAGTGTGTGTGAGAGCTTAATGTTGCTGCCGTGATCGCCACAAGCAATTAGAATTGCTGCGGGAGCAGTAGCAGCAGAAGCAGCAGCAGCATCACAGCGGCGCGTGCGATAAAAAGCTTTTTCCCATTTCCATTTCCATTTCCACTTCCAATTTCAATTTCAATTTGTTGTTAATTAAGTTAGCAAGCAGCAGCGGCAGCAGCAACATGCAATAAAACACTACGAACTGAGCCAGGGGAATCGTAACCAATTGTGATCTCAGCAATGAGAATGGACTATCAAATGCCACCGCCAGCTTTGGCGCTTCAGCAACAGCAGCAGCAGCAGCATCTTGGCCTGCAACATCAGCAAAATCAGCTGCAATTGCTGCAGAATGTGCAACAGCAGCAACAGCAGCAGCAGCAGCAACACCAGCAGCAGCAGCAGCAACAATTGCTGGGCCAACAATTGCCACCTCTTAGCAGCCTGCCACTGCAAGTGGTAAACAACCTGCCGCATTTGCTGGGTGGCAACAACAATAACACCAACAATTCCACCAATAACACCAACAATCCGAATCTCAACTGCAACAACAATCTGCTACGCAACTCTATGCAACACCAGCAGCAGCAGCAGCAGCAACAGCAGCAGCAGCAACTGCTCAATAGCCTGAGCAATAATAATGTTGCCAATGGCAACTTGCCACCACCAACGCAATTGTTGCAGCATCATCTGCAACATTTGGCGCATGTGAATGTGAATGCAGCAGCGGCAGTGGTGGCTGTGGCAGCCAACAACCTGCAACAGCAGCAGCAGCAACTTGCCACCGGCAACAACAGCAACACCAGTCCCGGCAGCAACAATAACAACAACATACTCAAT